CATTGTGTTTCAGTTGGCTTTCCTGTCTCCAAGGTCATGACCCATTGAAGAAATTGAACAGCATTGCTTTCAAGAAAGGAAAGAAATGAAGCTTGTTCATGTTTGTGTCTGGGAAGGGTGCAGCAGGATGTGTGGCAGGTCGCTGGGTTCTGAGAAAGCCAGTAGGGGCAGATCTGTGGGGAACTTAGTCTATATCTGGGCTAGTTCAGCCTCTCTAGGGTAGGAGGACTCCAGGAGGTAGCTACATAGGTCCCATTAGACCTGGCCAAACCTAGAAATCCCCACCCCCTGCAGAGCCACCTGCAGAGGCACCTACCTTCAGAGGGACCTTCTGGCCCAGGCAAGCAAGACACCAACGCTGGTGCAGCACAGCGGAGCCGGAGAGCCGCAGCATGTGGTCCAAGGAGCAGTGGCAGGGATCCAGCTGGACGAGGCATGGGAGCTTGGAGGAGGGGTCTCTCTAGAACTGGTTGGGCCTCCTTCTGTTCCTAGTTGAAGGTTAGGAGCAGGGTGGGGGCTGATTTTATCAACTTTGAACATCCTGCCAGTCTTGGTGTAGAGGGCTTGAGTTGATCCTAATCAAATTTGGGAAAGAAAAATCAAAACAGGCATTCTGAGTGTTATATATCTATCATTGTAAAAGGCTCTTAATTTAGAGAGTGCAGCCAGAAATGATCTCAAGGGCAAAGTGCTCATGATAAGAAATGATAAAAATTTGATTCATAATTTTATCCTTATTTTTGAACCAAAAATTCTCACTAGGGAATCTAAATATATTTCACCCTAGAAAGAAAGAAACCTAATGTGAATCCCTTCACATGAATGTGCACACGCCCAGGCCCAAGCCCTGAAAGTTCTGGAACAACAGGCTGAGAGTTGGTTGTCCAGTGTGTGTGGAGTAATCACCTCCTTCCTCAGGTTCCTTGCACAAAGACATACAAGTCCACAAATCTCAGTCGTGCATATTTCCGAGAGCTGCTTGCCAGCAATCTTCCGAGTCAGTTATTAAGGGTCATCAAAATTTGTTTTATACTACATAAAATCGGTCCACTGCTAGAGTTACCGAGAACTCTGATTCAGCACTTTTTTAAGTCTAGCTGCTGAGAGCCCCCCAGGCCACACCTTCCCCCGCTGAGCCACAGAGCATCTGTGGTCTGAGCAACTGATAGGAATTCCTGCTGTCTTCTGTTTTGTGGTCCCTTATGAATCGTTCATACCACTATCTTACTACAGTAGATGAGCCTGTAACAGCCATCGCCTAAGAGAGATTGGGTTCACACCGAGTGACCCATCACTGATGTCACAGAACCCCTTTACCTTGAAAAGCAGGAGAGGGTCAGTAGGCTTGGGATCTTTGCTCTGCCTGAGTGAACAGTGACCCACAAACACAGTTTACTTCAAGTGTAAGATGTCATTTTCTCAGTAGGATGTGGTGACTGGTGCATGCCACGGTCAAAACTCACCAACTGTGCACTTACAAGCTACATGTTTGATAGAATGTAAATTATACCTCAGTTAAAAACAAACTAAGAAAAACAAGTGTGGGGGGCCAGAGAAGACAGGGGCTCTTGAGAGTGATGGTCCTCCTGGGAAAAGAGGTGAGACTTAAGAACAGAGTGGAGAAGAGGTCCAGCCAAGAAGGCATCGTCTTAGTGTAACAGCAAGGACACACTCAACAAAGCCCAGGTAAGGAACATTCAATTAACAAGAAGGGGGTTGGTGTACTCTTAAAAAAAAGTTCCTGTCATAAAAAACAAAGAAAGGCTGTGGAAATGCTCTAGCCGAAAGGAAGCTAAAGAGACAGGACACCTAAATACAATACCTGATAGGCTGGATCCTGTCCCGGGGTGGGGGAGGATCACTCTAAAGGTCACAATGAGATCAAGTGACAGTGCGAGCATAGGCAGTGCCTTAGACACAAGTATTGTCCATGTAGATTATGAAGCCAGAAACTGCCCTATGGCCTGTAAGACAGCATCCTGATTCTTAGGAAACACAGACTGAAGTATTTAGGGGTACAGGGCCATTTTGTATGTAATTCACCCTGAAATGGCTTGGAAAACAAAATGATGTATGTATGTGTGTGAAAAAGAATTTCCTTATTGCTTATCTTGGGGAAAAAAAGACTGAAAGCACAGGTTTGGTTCTGGTTTGGGGCTTGATGACAAAGCCAGTTCACGGTCTGGCAGGCCTTTTTCCAGTTTTATCAGACGTTCTCCTTGTATCAGTGATTCCTGAAAGCCACTTCAAACCCACGGCTGATTCATGAAAACCTTGACTCCACGTCAGGTCACTATTACCTGGAGATGAACACGGCCCAGGCCAAGTTTTTGCACTGGGACAGTGGCATCTGTTCAGTTTAATTGCATACACACGTTTCAATGAGCAGGGGGTGGGGGAGGGAGGGAGAGAGCGTACAAACCAGAAAACAAATGAGGTAAAAGTAGGTGAATCTGGGTCAATGTGTTCTATGTACAATTTTCCTTTTTTGCACTTTTAAAAAAAATTGAAATTTCCAAATAAAAAGTTTTTTAAAAAATACTGTGGAATGAGGGAGCTGGAAGGCATTCCAAGGGCTTCACATTATCAACTTGTGTCTAGAAGGCCCTGGCCACCAGTTCCGTGACAATTACATTGCAGTAATAGTCATAAGTGGATCATTTTCAGTCAATAAAAGATAGATTGCTTAATGTTACAACCTTGAGAGAGTGTGAGAGAATTTCCTTCTTGCTTATCCTGAAAAGAAAAGGAAAAAAGTACAGGTTTTTGTTGACAAAGCCAGTTGGAGTTTGGACAAGTAGTTTTTTCAACATCTGTACCTCCAAACAAGCAGAATGTTATCAGGACACTCTCCTATAATCAGTAACTTCTGAAAGCTACATCATACCCGTAGCTGATTCGTGAAAACCTTGGCTCCTGGGATAGATCACTGTTACTTCAACATGAGCATGGCCCAGGCAAGGTTTATATGTTGGGACAATTATATCTGTTTGGTCTAATGTCAGAATTTCCCAGGATGACCCTGGCTGTATCATAGTGGATTTGGGAGAGGAAGGGGTGTTCAGTGACCTCCCACTGGGCTCTCAAAGACCATAATGTCTGATCTTGCTCTGAGCTCAGAGGCCCCTGTGCCCCCAGAAGTGGCCACCACCCCTGCTCACTGCCTGCAGGATCCACTGTACCGGTGAACGGGACTCAGCCTCCCGCCCATGCTGTAGTTGGCCTAATGCACATGGCCATGATGTCCCTCTTCCCCCGACGCAGAAAGTAAATAGAGGGTTCGTTTCTTCAGGCATACTTCCCAAGCAAATAGAAACCTCCCCTCTTGGCCTTGTCTCCTTCTGGGATGAGTGAAAAGGACAGGTTGTACTTTACTCTTAAAAACTCCAGCTTGGATTGTGGCATCATGAAGCTTAGTATTTTCCCCTGACCTTCATCTGGTCAAGCTGGGGCTATTGTGGGGACTTGGAAGTTCAACTATATAATGGAAGTGGTCTGTCTTTTAGCCAGCAGGTCTTTAATACAGCCTGTATGTAAAACCCAGTTGAGAGGATGCTTACATGGAATTAAACCCAGGTGGCAAAATGGGCATGTGATCACAGGCACGCTTCATTCTGGATCAGTCCTGGTCATGTCATGTTAGTTCTTCAAGAAGGGAAAGTTGAGAATACAAGTACACTTGACCTGCAGTGGGACTAAGAGGTCTCTGGCCACAAGTTAAAGCTGTGCTAAAGGGTCCGTAGCAAACTAGGTGAGCATCAAAGGCAGAGGTGGAGGGAGCCAGGTGGAAGGATTAGAGGGACAGACTGAGTCACTACTTGCTGGTTGCATACATCCTGAGAAGAAGCTACTGACATAATAACCCATGATCTGTCAGCAAAGACTCCAGAGGTCAGACAAGGAGACAGCCCCCTGTGCCCCAGGACTCTGAGGGGCCAGTGGCACTGGTGCTGCCCTACAGCTGTTCCAGGGCACAGCCTGGCCAGGGCTGGAGTGAGTGAGAACATGTCCAGCCCGCCAGCCAGTGCATCCTGCACCTGATTCACACCAATCAGCTCGGTCCCAGTATCATCTGGTGACAACTTATTGCACCCCTACAGTGTTCCTAGCACCATGCTGAGCTCTTTATGGGTATTACCTTATGGATACTCACAACCGTCTGCTCTTGTTTTTATTTAAAAAATATAATTTTCCAGCTTTATTGAAATACACTTGACATATAACACTGTGTAAGTTTAAGGCTCACAATGTGATGATTTGATGTGTGTATGTACAGTGAAATTATTACTGAGATATGGTTATTTAATAAATCCGTCACTTCACATAGTTACCACTTTGTGTGTGTGTGTGTGTGCGCGTGTGTGTGTGTAGAACATTTAACATCTACTTTCTTAGCAACTTTCAAGTATACAATACAGTATTGGTCGGTCCTCTTTTTAAAGGTAAGAAAACACAGGTAGAAAAGATACCTACCAAGGTCAGAAAATTGGTAAGCAGTGCCAGGATTTGGAACCAGGACAATCTGGGTCCAAATCTCATATACTTTTTTTTTCACCACGCTGTGCCCAAGTACACACACACACACACAACACACACACACACACACACACACACAGAGTGTGTTAGATTTTCGAGCTTCTGCTTCAAGAAGGAGCTGGGCTTGGCTCATCGTATTTGATCTTAGGCATTCTGCAGTCACACAAAATGTCCTACAGAAGGACATAGTGATGGTTGACTGGGAACCTTGGGGTATTCTGAGGCATTGGTTGCTTTATCTCCTGGCTGGGACTGTCTCCCATCTGGCTGCACGTGCTGGCAGGGGCTCCCTGTTGGGACTTCAGAATCTGCATCTGAGCTGCCAAGAAGGTCAGAAGGTTTGGTAAAAAATCAACTGGTGACGTGAGTGGGAACTGTCAATGGGCTGGACTGACTCCAGTGCCAGAGAATGGCCTGGCTCTTGACCCCAGATCACTTGCCATCTTTTCACCCTGTCCTTGCAGCCAGCCTTGGAGTGAAGCCCCGGGTGGCAGCTCTTGGGGAGCAGCCAGCCTATCAAGGGCCTGTGCATTGCATCGCAACCATCGTGAGAACCGAAGGCCTGGCAGGGCTGTACCGGGGCGCCAGTGCCATGCTGCTGAGGGACGTCCCAGGCTACTGCCTCTACTTCATCCCCTATGTGTTCCTGAGTGATTGGATCACGCCCGATGCCCGTGCAGGCCCCAGCCCCTGTGCTGTGTGGCTGGCAGGCGGCATGGCAGGTAAGGACAGTGCGGCTGATCCCTGACCCTGTGCTGACCACCACTGAGAGACAGCTGGGGAGCCTACTATGCCCTTCTCAGCCCCAGGGAAGGGCAGGATTCACCCAGCCACTCATCCCACAATACTTTGTTCAATACCTGTTAGGTGCCAGACCTAACCAGGCAGAGGAAGGGCTGGGAATGGGGGACGGTCCCCTCTCTTCCTCCTATTCCCTTCCCTCTGAGTCCCTATTGGGACTCATTAAGCTTTCAGTTGGAAGATATATTTTATGACTCACATTGTTCCAGGTATCACTGAGCTTTGAAAAGAAAATCTGTTAACACGATCCACCTTTGTTGAATGTTGGCACCCTGCAAACCTTTCTAATGTGAGGATTTCGTTAGCGCCTTGAGGTAGGAATCAGTCTCCCCATTTTTCAGATGAGAAAATTCAGCTTCAAAGAGATTAAGTTACCAACCCAAGGTCACACAGCTAGTGCAGACACTATAGCTGGGACTCTGCAGTCAGAAAGATCCAGGTTCAAATCACACTTAGTCATTTTGTGACCCTGAACTGGGGGTCCAACTATAACCTCCCTACTCAGAACCCAGCTGCATCCCCATTTTACTTAGAGTAAAAGTCAATGACCATGCAATGGTTTCAGGGCCCTCTGCCTGTTACCCTTCTGCATTCATTTTCTGCTACCGCCCTCTTACTTGCTCTGCTCCAACCACAGTGGTCTCTGCTGCAGCTTGAGTGTGCTGCTCTCTCCCCACCACAGGGCCTTTGTACTGCTATTGCTGCCGCTTGGGTTAAGTGGTGCGTAGATCATCAGGGACTTTGACAAGAACCATTTTGATGACAAAAAGGGTGTGAAAACCTAACTGAAGTAGGATCAAGAGAGAATGGGATGGAAGAAATTGGAGAACCCAAGTACACACAACCCTTCACCCGAGGGATTTGGCCGTGCTATAATGGGGAAGAGAGAACTGCAGCTATAGCCAGAGAGAGGTACAGAAGTCAAGAGAGGTTTGCTTCTTAAGAAGGCTGACAGCATGGCATGTTTGTTGGGAAAGATCGGCTAGAGAGAAGAAAATTGTCATTCCTCCTCCTCATCACCATGAGCAACTGTGCTTGAATCTTAGCAAACACGTAACAAAGCCCACATCTTAGCCACCAAACCCCAGTGTTTTCCCTTCCATCACGTGCCTGAGACCTGGCCTGTACCGGCTCCCAGTAAGCACTCATTGGTGGAGAATTAGAGCAACATCCCAGCTGCTCTCATTTCTGATAAGAGCAGGTATGTGTGGCCTGGCAGGCAAACCTGGTTTTGTAATTCTCTCACCCATGGGCTGAGAAACAAGGGTGTGTGCAAGGGCAGCCTGTGGGCCAACTTCAGGGAAAGTGGCAGGAGGAAGGAGAGGTCTAGAGGGACCCCAGAGGACCGGGGCAGGAGGCCGGGATGGGCAGAGAGCTGGGACGGGCTAGGGTCTCTTTTGGGAGCTGCTGCGCAGCAGTTACAAAACCTTACAAACCAGCTGCCTTGGACTTTGGCATCAGTCTGTTTTTCTCTCCCCATCAAAGAATGCGCCAATGTCTGTGTTTACACAATAACCTGGTGTTGTTTTCTTAGAGTTCTTTAAAGTCATAAAAGTTCTCAAACCGGGGTGCCTGGGCTTTTCTGATGAGGATGACCCAGTGACACCTGGTCCCAAGGCTTCTATTCCACATCACTGGGGAAGATAAGAGCTTTTTAAAGACCTGCCCCTGCTCTTCTCTGCCATCCCTAGGCTGGCGCTTCCTTGGCAAGCAGTCTACCTGCAAGTGTTTGTTTAGCATTTCCACGTTCAAGTAAATCTTGCCTGTGGAGAGCTGCCAGCCTCCAGCCTCAGGCCTCACCCTGGGCTCCCTCTCGTGTGCTCAGAAAGATGCTGCAAAGCACTGTAGGGTCTGTTCCTGTTCCTCCAGTAAAAACTGCTAATAAAGGCTTCCACTTAGGAAACACTGGCTGTGGTTCTGGCACGGTGCTAAATGCTGCACGTGCATCAGTTTATTTGTCCTCACAGCACCCCCAGATAGGTACTGCTGGCCCATTTTATAGATGACAAGCCCAAGGCCCCGAGGAGGCAGGAGACTTCTGCAGAGTCTCACAGCAAGTGGCGAGGGATGATTAGGGCCCCATTCATAGGTCCTGACCCTGAGCTCTTTCCACGTTCCCCAGCAGCTTGTCCAGCCTTCGAATGGCAGAAATCTGCAGGGAGCCAGGTCCACTGCAAACCCCGACCAGCCCCTGATACCTACTTGTCTCTCTCTTTACAGGAGCAATTTCCTGGGGGACAGCAACTCCTATGGATGTTGTGAAGAGTCGAATGCAAGCTGATGGGGTTTATGTGAACAAATACAAAGGTGTCCTGGACTGTATCTCCCAGAGTTACCAGAAGGAAGGTCTTAAAGTAAGCCCCAAAGCACTCGTGTGGGGTCAGTGTCAGTCCCTGGAAGTCAGGGTCAGACATCTGGGGGCTATGAGATTACGGAGAAGGGAATTGAGGTCCTGGTCGTTACCACTTATCAAGCACTACAAGAAAGCCTTGTCTATTCCAGACCTTGCTTTGGGCTGGTAGAAGAACTGGGTGTGCTCTCCACATGACAGGTTCAGGGAGGACTGGTAACCAACCCGAGGTCACTTAGCTGGTGCCTGGCAGACCCCTTCTGCTATCTGTGTCACCAAAGCTTTCCTCCTCATCAGGTAGGCAGGAAGCTCCTTCCTCACTCCCTGCTCAGTGTCTCCCCCTCTCCCCTCCTCCAAGTGAGAAGTCACAGAACCACCTCTGTGGTGGTCATCACATCTCATAAGTTCCAGTTCCTTGATCTGTCTTCTGCTTTCCAACCCATGCCAGTCCAGTCATCTCTGGTCTCGGCTATTGAGGCAGCTTCCAGCCTGGCCTTGTCCCTCTTCTCCTCTTTTCTCCTCCTGGAACTCGAAGGGCTGGTCCTCAACCCAAGCCTCTTCTTGACTCTAAACTGTCCCAGAATGAAGATCAGATTTCCACATCTGGTGTCCAGGGTTCTAAATGAATTCATCCACATCTGTCTTGTCTCCCATGACACCCCCTAGCACCCTCATGCTTGCTCTTCCTTGAATGGGCCCCACCTTTCTTGGCATGCCTCTATAGTCAGCAGACTTGAGTTCAAAGCCAGGCCTGGCTACTTGTGAGCTGGGGAATCCAGGCAAACTTCACCTCTCTGGGCTTCAGTTTCTCCAGTGACAATAATCATCCCTACCATGAACAGCAGGGATATTTGTAGGTTAAATTAAATTAGTGTGCAGTTTAATGCATAACACATACGCTTTTGGAAAGAGTTAACCATTTATCTTTCACATAGTAGTGGTAGTAGTTTAAATAGTATTAATGTTTCTACTGAGCTCTGGACCTTTTCTTGCATGGCTGCCTCATCACAAGCCTTCCAGTTAGTATAACTGCCCGCTCCAGTGCATCCAAAAGCATTTTCTTTTCCCTTCCTTCCTTCCTTCCTTCCTTCCTTCCTTCCTTCCTTCCTTCTATCTTTCTTCCTTCCTTCTTTCTTCCTTCCTTCCTTCCTTTCTTTCTTTCC